GAAGCCATTGGAGCTAGCCCTCACAGCTGAATTTACATCTTCAGCTCTTCCTGGGACACTTCTCATGCCCAGGGACTTTGTGACCCCATGGGATAGCCTGCGAGGAGGCATTTCCTCTGACTACTTCCTGGGTTTCTGTGTTTCTGGAGGTAGGCAGGACCAGTTCCTTTGTACTTTTCCAGTCTTGTGTTTGTTGGGTGAGAAAATTTCTCACATAAATCAAAGCAAACTTATATCCTTGGGCTGAGTTAGAAATTGGAGTTCAGACTCCCGAAGTCTGGTGGGGCAGGTGAGTAAAGAAAAGTATTTGGGTTTATCTAGTGGGCCTCGGGCTTCCTGTTCTCTGGACTTGTCTTTTTCTGGGTTGAGAACAGGATCCTTGATTCTAGGGTCCTGGCATCATCTGTACCAAAGAGGTCTAGAGGATGAAGGAGAGGGACCAGCAGATGGCGTAATGGTTATGTTGCTGGACTTCCACGTGGTCGACTGTGACTTGACTCCCAGACCCAGTAGCTTAAAGCTCACGCCGGGCATGTGTACATGTGTGCCCAAAATCCCAAGAGGAAGATGGATGAGAAGGGATAACATGTTCATCCCCCCTGGGGAGTAACTTCCTGCTTTCTTTCCTTCTCCGGCAAGCACATGCTCCCTATAGCAAAAATCTCTCTAAAACAAACAAACAAAAAAATAGAGGTTATAGGAGAAAGCATCAGAGAAGACCCTTTGTGTTGAGGGCCTTGGTGGTTATAGGAGCAGCAGTTCTGTGATGGATGAGAGTGAATTAGTGTGAGGTGGAGTAGGGTGGGTAGGAGCGAAGGGACAGGTAGGTCTTTTGGGTTTAGAATTAGGCCTCTTTGGACCTGGGTAAGGTCTGTGTATGGGTGGGGAGTAGAAAGGAATGGATGGGAGAGGTTCTGACACAGGAGTGGGAACAGGGATTGGTGTATAAAACTGGGGTGGGAGACAAGATGGCAACTCCCACCATCTTCCCAGTGCACAAGGGCCACAGTTGGTTAGAAGGGAGGCAAAGTCGGAGACCTAGAGGAGAGGCAAGGCCCACAATCACAGTGGGAGACCTAACTAGGAAGTCAGTAAGATAATTTGGAAATTTCCAGGTGGGGTCGAAGGACACGAACCAGGTCTGCACACTGGCTTTTTTTTTTTTTTTTTTTTTTTTTTTTTTTTTGTAGGCCAGCTTCATCCAGCTCTTTCCCCCTTACCCTGAGCTGGTCACTGGTGGGAGTGATTCAGGCCCAGGGTGGGGCTATAACTGTAGACAGCAGTGCCAATGACTTAAACTGGTTCCCAACGTTGCCGTAGTTCTTGAAACTAGACTCATTGCTCTCGTCCTTTTTTTTTGTAAAGGTTTTTTGCCTTAGGGTACATGTGCTCACAAGAGTCAGAGAGACAGAGACAGTGAGAGGGAAAGTGAGAAACCACCCGTCGAAGGGGTGGCCATGCCAGAATCCCTTCTCCTCCATTCTCTTCTCAGGATCTTGGGCACACACGCATACGTTCCCCAGCGTAGAGTTTCAGGCCTGCAGGTCCCAGGCTAGCACCGCTGTCAGACATGTGGGAGTCCAGCGATGTAACCACTGCACCATCCACTGGCTCCTCCGCCCTGTTTTTTAAAACAGGTAGGCAGCGTAGGGCTGGAGAGGGTGCTGGGTGTCCCTGTACGGACAAGGGGCTCCTGCAGGACTCAGCAGGGAACTGGAGGGGAAGTGAGGGTGTGGGAAATGAGGAGGCGATGGAGTTTGAATCCACACGGAGGTCGTGTGCAGTGCTATCTATGCAGAGTGAGAATGAGCAAAGGTCAGGGAAGAGACCAATGGGAGTTCTGCCCCATTGCAGCCAGAGCAGGGCAGGCTGGGCAGAGCCACTGTGTGGACGGTTTGGCAGTGAGGGTGCAGGTGTGTGGGATGCCTGAAGGGTCCAGACTGACGGCTGTCCTCTGGTGCCCCAGCACACACAGGTGCTGGTTATCTGTGTCAACGCTTCCTCATTGACCAGAGCATGGAAGGCATGGTCCCATAGCTGAGCTAAGCAAGCCAAGTCTGGAGGTCTAAAAGTATTGGTTAATGTGAGATGAACTGTCCTGATTTAATTTGAAAAATATTTTGACTCCATTGCCTTAGGCCTATTAGTCAGCCTAACGCACTGGTTTTCTCTGCTTGACTTTAACAAGAATTGCCAAGAATCTCTGGTGCAAAATGGAAAAGTAGGACTCTAAGTATGTTCTGTTTTGTGGAGTTATATCATTAGAATCATGGACTGGTAGAATTTTGGAAGATTCCTTGCAGACAATGGAGGAGAGTCCCCTCAGGTTATAGTGGGAGAAGCCAAGGCTCAGGGAGCTGAAGTGGTGAGCTCTGCTGCTGTTGTTTGAGAGCCTGGGTTCTCCTTGGACTCCTACCTCTGCTGCCTCATGGCCTCCCCCGGTGCGGATTTTCAGTGACGGATGCACTGCTGACTGAGCGGTTGTCAGAATCGCACACTGAGGTGGAGCTTTTGGGCTCACGCCAAAAGCTGTTCCTAGCTCAAGATGTTTTGGGGCATGTCCACACAGTGGTGGACTTGGTTGGGGGGGTGTCCACTCTCGGGGTGTATGGGCAAGTGCCTGTCCTCAGCAGGACCCGTGGGTGGCCAGCTGGCCGGGTGAGGACCGTGGCCCTGCCAGGAGCACAGACCTCTGACTTGGCTTGTCTTGAATGTGGTCTTGAGTTTCTCACATCCCTGCCCCTTTTCTCGTGCTCTGCCCTCCACTTAGAATGGACTCTCCGCTGTCTGCTGGTCAAGGGCCAGGTCACACATGGTCTCTAGAAACCTTTTACCATGCCTTCTCTCACCTCCACCTATCAGCATGCACACACACCCTGCTTGTTTTCCAAACAGTGGTCGGTCATGTGCAAGCCAGCTCCTTAACCACCAGGCCATGGATCTGGCCTTGTTTGTTTATTGGCCATTTTGATCTTTTTTGGGTGAACTGCCTGGTTATGTCCTTGGGAAGTACCTATTGACGATGACTTTCTAAGTCTGACCGCCAGAGACCTTACATAAACCTATATGGGGGTCTTTATAAGGGAAGATTACTCTGCCAGGCAGAATGCATTTCTCTTACAAGGGTGAACTAGTGGTTTGGGGTTAAAACTCGATTTCTTTTTTCTTAAAAGAATTAATTATTTTTTAAATTTTATTTCATATGTTAATTTTATTTTTTAATTTGACTAGAGAGA